CGGCCGCGAGAGGCCGCCGCGGGCAAGCCGGGGCGGGGCACCGGAGAAGGAGGTGTCGGGCCGGGCGCTCCCGGGCCGCGGCGGGGGGCACAGACGGGGTCTGACAAACCTGTTGGAGACGGGAGGTCTGAGGGGCGGAAGTGTAGGTGGAGGGACAGAGGGACCTCCGGAGCTGGAGTCCTTGAGCCTGGCAGGTAGGAGAAACTCGGTTTGGTCGTTGGACTGCGTGCTGGCTGTGTGTGTGGGAAACCAGAGCTTGGAGAATGATGTGAGAGCTGGTTAGAAAAAACTTTCAGTGCCCAGCTGTAGCCTGAGGTTTTATTGTGCTGTGCGGAGCCTTTGACTGGCCCACCTCCAGCCCCATACTAGTGGTTGAACCCGAGGTCTCGTATCATACTAGGCAAACACTGCCCTAAGCTACATCTCCAGTCAGCCCTTTTACATTTTATTTGATAGACGTTATCCCTAAATTACTCCGGCTGGCTTTGAACTTGAGATTCTCCTGCTCCGGCCTCCTAAGTATCTGGGGTTACAGATGTGTGTCACCAAGTCCAGTTTGAGCCATTTAAATATTCGCTGGATTGGATTAGGGGCAACACTACGATGGGGCGTCACTGAGGTTGGTGTGACAGTCCAGAAAAGAAGTGACAACACCCAAACTCTTGTCTGATGGGATTCCTGGAACCCTGCTTATGAAATATTTACTCCAGACACGCGGTGGGGCGCAGGCAACCAGGTGCCCCTTTGGGAACAACGTCCCAGCCATTGTCAGCAGATATTTTAAAAACGTCTTGTGCAAAACAATTGTTATGCCAGAGGACACACCTAGCAGGTATTTTTCTTGTATCTCATTTGACTAGATTTAATGATTGGCTAAGAGCTGTGCTCCCCTCCATATGCATGGAGATTGTAATGTCCACAGCACTTTGCCCTTCAGAGGTTTCAGTGTTGGACATCCCAAGGGTGAAATCCAAATGCCAAGTAAGTGGTAGGAGATGTGATGGCGAGAAGTTACTAAAAGAGAATCAGAGGGCTGGGGATGTAGCTCAGTTGGGAGCAAGAGAAAGAGAGAGGGAGACAGAGAGGGAGAAATATCAGTACCCAAAACATGAATATGGGATATTAGGTAAACAGTAATTGTAAAACAAAATTTCTAGCTTGGTCATTTCCTATCAGCTTCTCTTAGTTTGTAGGCTTCTCTATGAGTGGCTTAAATGTTTTTTGTTTTTTTGTTTGGTGGTTTTTTTGAGACAGGGTCTTGCTATGTACATTAGTTCAGGTTGGCCTTGAACTCACTGTGTAGCCCAGGCTGGCTTTGAATTTGCAGCCATCTTCCTGCCTCAGCCTTCTGAGTGCTAGGATTATAGGCATAGGCCACCCTGCAGGGTAAGATTGGTTAATTGTTAATTGGCCCTTTCAATTTCCTGAGAAACAGGAAAAGATGTTTTTGTTACATAAGGAGGAATGATTTGGTGATTTATAGTTGTTCCCAGCCCTGAAATTGCTACTGTGACCAAAGATATACCCAGCTATCTGTTTTGTATTCATCCTTTAAAAATTTTATTTTCTGAGAGGAAGTAAAATGGCTGAACCTTGCACTAATTTATACTGTATTTGTTTGACTCCAGAAAGCAGAATTGGACCTCCAGGGATCCTGTGCAGTAAAGGCATATTAGGGAGTTGCTAAGGACTTAGGAGGGTGACAGCAGCTGGTTTGTGTATAAATGTAGAAACCAGCGCAGCACTCCAGGGAGAGCAAGTCCAGAATGGAGAATCCCAGGAAAAGGGAATTTCCAGCCAGATCAGTGGTCATTCTCTGTACAAGAAGCCCCAAGATAGGTGATTTTTTAAAAAGTTCCGAAGGATATAAAGGGCCACAGTGGTTTATAAGGGGTTTTGCATGAGCTTCCTAAGATTCCCTGGAAATTGGATGTCTTTGCCACATTTTTTTTAAATTGTTTGTAGTCCCAGTTACACGAATGCTAAGGTAGGAGGATCACTTAAACCCACCAGTTTGAGAATAGGATGGACCACATAGAAGGCCCCATCTTAAAAAAAAAAAAAACAAAACCAAAAACAAAACACCTAATTAATTAAAGAAAAACTGTAAAATAATTTTTGTTAAACATTTTCTAAATTTCTTTGATCATGTTTGAATTGGACAACTAATTATACTTCTTTGGAAACATTCCACCCCTTCTTCCCCCAGACGCAGTAACTATGTGCTGTCAGGGCAGTTAAGTAGGCCAGGGGTTTTTGGAAATTTTCCACTTTCATTCACCCCCACAAATTTTCTCACTGGTAAAGAAGTTAAGGCTTCATTGTCAGGAAAAAAATGTTAGTGTGTTTCCCTCAACACAAGCTATGATAAACAACAGGGCTGGCCTGCCAGGGCAATGGTCTCCCTTGGGTGGAATTGAAACCAAGTGGGAGTAGAGGTGGTGTGTGAGCTGGAACACTCAGAGCCTTTACCTTTGTCACTCAAGGCCCTGCACAGGGCACACCTTTCTTGGCAAAGAAACATACCTTGACTTGAACCACGTAATGATGGGAAGTCTTCAAGGGGTAACAAGGAGAATTAGAAGTCTGCTTTCTAATTCAAGGAGAATTAGAAGTCTGAAGTCTGCTTTGAGCTCCTGCAGAGCACTTTTAATTGTGGGGTGAATGGTATATTTTGAGATAAAAGTTATTAACTTACAAGAAATCTCAAATTCTAAGGCCTTTTTGCAGTTTTTTCCCCCTTAGAGTCTAATCAAGATCCAGAGGCCTGAGGTTAAGCGAATGTTTGTATTTTGTGTGTAAATAAGCTCAGGCTGTTTAGTACTCTTTAGTCTGTTACTCTGGTCTTTTTGAGTGGCTACCTGAACCAATAACACCATAGGCTGTGAGGTTGGCAGCTTTCCATCCAGCATCCTTTTAGCAGTAGTGTTATCGGAAATTGTCTCAGCCCTAAAAAGTGTTAGTCATTAAACTTGTCAGAGACAAAAGTAAATAATTATGCTCACTAAATTGGGTGAAGAAATAGTGAGGCCACCAGTACTGCTACAAAGGTTAGTAGACTCTCAAGTGCTTGTTGAGGTACCAGGGACTCTATGGAGCTACGACACCCAGCCCATAGACTTCTGACTTTTGCTAGCCAGGTATAGCACGCTCACCTGAGGGCAAATTCAGATGAAGAAACTTCCTGTTTTTCTCAAGCTGAACTGAATATCCTAGGCCTCCAAGCTTCTCAGCTTGGGCAAAGCTATTAATTGGCTTGGCTATAAAATGGGAGTCAGCAATTAAAAAGTAGCAGAAGAGAAGCAAGGGAATTACTGTGATTTGACCCTCCAATCTCACTACCAGAAAGGTTCATACTACTCTGAGCACTATATACAAAGGGCTCTTCAAAAGGAAATGAGCTTGGATTGATGTCTTTATAGTTTTTAGGAGACAGATGTAGACTATTAATACAGATGCTCTCTGATTTACAGTGTTTTGACTTAGGATCTTTCTACTGTATGATGATGCAAAAGTGTCCCCATACAGTCGCTCAGTTTTTTACTTTCCTTATAGTATTTAACAAATAAGATATTTAGCATTTTAACATCAAATAGGTTAAATAAATGTTCTGAGCACGTTGAAGGTAAGTGAGGCTAAGCTGTGACACTTAGTTGGTTAGATTAACTACATTTTTTATTTATAATATTTCCAAGTTATGATGGGTTTATCAGGATATAATAAGTCAAGGAGCTTCTGTATTGAGTCAGACCTCAAAGACAGATCTAGGAAATTGGATAGATCCTCACATCGAAAGCAAGAGAGACAAATGGTGTGAATCCAGTTTCTGTAGGCAGCCAGTCCATGGTATGACTTTGCCACAAAGACTGATTTATATTTTTTTTGAGCTCTCATTAGAAGGTTTAAGGGAGTGTTGGTAATTGCAGTGTAAGGCGGGTTACTCTATCTGAATTTACTTATTAGGGAGTAATGCCTTTCTCAGAGGTACTTACTACTAGTTGCCTGATGATTTATGCTAAAGAATTGTTAGCTAATTCCAAGAGCATTCCAGAAAAAAATATGTCATAACTGAAAACTATCTAGACACATTTGGTTTTCAAAGAAAGGCAGGGGATTTGTTGAAGACAGCAAAGGTATTTGGGGAGAGAGAGACCTGGGAAGTGTGCTAGACTTCTGCCATATTTAATCCCAATGCTGAACATAGTACTTTACCAGTCAACTTTCATCCCCAGACATTATTTATTTTTGATTTTGAGACAGTCTTGCTAAGTCATTCAGTTATCCAGCCTGGGCTTGAATTTGCATTTGTCCTGACTCAGCTTCTCAGAGTCCAGCCCTGGCTTTGCTAACTGTGTTGAACAATCTAATGATCTTTATCATCTGGTGGCGGCTACATGAGACTCTTCAGTGAGAAGTGGCTGTGTTTAAGGTAAAGAGAATTCCAGACGCTTCTCACTCTTCATTTATGTTCCACTTGCATGGTTTTTGTCTGATCTTCATACCATCTCTACTGTTATTTAAATAATGCTCTTCTTTAAATTGAACCACTTTTTAAAATCCTAAAATTAATTTAAAAAAGAAACTGCAGCCTTGTCTTAAATTGGAAGGTACTACATCACCTGTCACAAATAGAAGGTAAATGTAAAAAGTTAAAATGAAGTTGTTTGTTCATGTTTCTCAAAGCATGCCACATATCCCACATGTGGGAATCCTGCCTTTGCCCCAAGGTGTGACTCACTAACAGCAGGCAGCAGTAGCTAAGTGGTAGGGGTGGTTAGGGAGGGAGGCCTTTGGACAGGGCCCCTTGAATCCTGTCCTAGAGCTCTTGTGGGTTTCTAATACTAGGAAGGCCACAGAATCCGGGAGCTAAAAAGAAAAAAATGAGTGCAATGTGCAATCACTGGTATTTTGATAACAAAGTTTGCTAAAAAGAGGCCTAAGTGGTGGTGAGGCTGTAGGCTACATTAAGTTCAGAGGCCTGGCTTCACTGATGCTGTAGTATATTGTTTCTTTGCAGATGTACTCTTGGAAAACTCTTTTTTCTTAGAAACTGGTAGGCTGCCATTTAAAAAAAACTCACCAGTTCCTCTAACTACTTTGAGTCCTTTGTCTTTCACATATAGAGGACTAGAGCCAGGTGTGGTGGCACATGCTTGTAATCCCAGCACTTGGGAGGCTAAGGCAGGATAATTGCTGTGAGTTCCAGGCCATCCTGGGCTGCATAATGAGTTCAAGGCATGTCTCAAAAAACCACATATAAAAAACTGTCTTTGTGGATGTTACTAATGACAAGAATCTGAAGTTGTCTCTAGCATTTCTGTTTTCTAGCTGTTGTGGTCCATAAAGCCAGATTGTTATCCTTTAAAATCCTATGAAAACAGAAGAAAAGGGAAGGGTGAGCTTCCTGGGGGTTACGTGATCTCTTGGGGTGCTGCGCTGGGTAGGCGGGAGTGGTACTTGGTGCTGTGAAGTGAAATTCTCTGTTGTCCATTGAGAGTTGCCTGCAGTGTTAACTGGGCTGCGGCTCCCTGCAAGGGTCAGGAGAGTGTGCTTTCGTGGTGGAGCAAGGCTTGGTACATCAGGAACCAGGTGTACTTAGTTAAATTGCTACTGCATTAAGCCATAGGGGCCTTTTCCTAAGCCAGCAAGATTTTAACTTTACCACAAAGCCTAATTTAATGCTCTGGGAGGAGGCAGGCAGAACCTGCTTTTCACGGGCTGTGCTGGTGGGGGACTTGGCCTGAGAAGTGGCCTAGTTGGGCTTGTTGGGAGGGATGGCCTATCCCTTTCAAGTGTGTCCTCTCATCTTGGCAGGGGGCAGAGAGATCTTCCCTTCTCTCTCATGGCCCTTATATAACCTTTCCCTTTATTTCCTCGACTCACTTTCTGTGTTAACAGCCTTCTTCCCTTTTCCATCCCCTTGTGTTCACTGCTGCCCTTTTTATGATGTTTTTTCTTGCTGGGCCTCATTTTCTCTCCATTCGCACTTTGAGGGCGGATTATTTGAAGTTCCAGACTTACAGTGCTGTCAGTATGGCCCAGTGACTAGATGTATTTCAGAGGCCCCAGCCTGTTTTCTGAGGAGGGGCAGACCTCTGCTTCTCCACTGACTTTCAGGTAGCTCCACCTTCGAGTACTGAGTGGAGAGCCTGCGTGGGTGGGTGACGCTGGGCATACCCCTCCACCAGGGAGCCCAGCAGTGTGCTGGGATGTGTGTGTGTGTGGATTTACTGTTGGGAGCTGTGAGTAAAGGGGTTGAAGTCCCCTTGCAGACTCCTTCCTGAAGCTGAAGGGAGCAGAGAGTCCAAGTTCAGACAGTCCTCTGGCTTTTGCAGGGGACCTCAGTTTCAGTAACATTGTATAACTCTGCCTGACTGCCCTCAACCTGCCAAAGTGAGTTTTGCCTGTAGTCTGCATAGCCAGACCACCCTCAACATACCCATGAAATCTGGAGAACTTCCAGCCTTTTCTGATGCATAACAGATTCATGGGATTTTTTTTTTTTTTCAAAACAGGTTCTTTTTTTTTTTTTTTTTTTTTTTTTTTGGTACTAGGAACCGAACTCACGACCTTGCGCTTGCCAGGCAGGTGCTTTGCCGCTGAGCTAAATCCCCAGCCCACAAAACAGGTTCTTGATATGTAGTTCAGACTGGCCTTGAACTCACTATGTAGCTCAGGCTGGTCTTGAACTCTCAGTGAGCCTCCTGCCTCAACCTCCTTAGTGCTGGGATTATAGGTGTGTACCACCACACCCGGTTAATGGGAAATATTTTTATATTTGTATTTTTCACAAAGCCTAGTCTAATGTTAAAGTTTGTTTTTAACGTTATTTTGTAAATATCGTTGAATGAATGATTTTGTTTACCAATGTTATCAGACAGATAAATAAAGCTGTGTAAATCCTTTCAAAAGAAGTAATAACTGTAGAAAAGAAAGGTGCAATGATCCTGAAAATCCACTCTCATCGAGCTGTGCTGACCTTCACCCTCATCTGTGCTGTGCTGTTCCATCCCTCAGATGCGCTGCGCTTTTGCACACTGGTACTTCTGACAGAAGCATGAAGATCAGAGTATTCTGAATTTTAACATAGCTCTCAGAATGGTCATCATTTTCTCCTAGAAGCTCCCTCTACCTTCCCTGAATAGGAACTATCTCTTGCTAATCCTTGTCTCAGTAATGTCTGGAACCACTAATGCTAACTTATAGTCGATGTTCCTGGAAATTTTCATGAAATTAGTAAATGATGTGTGAATGGAATAAACTAATATATCAATACTAAAATTTAATGAAAACTGTAAACCAGAGATGGATGATACGGTACCACAAAGCCAGTAATTCAAAAGTGGTTTCTTAACCTAACAAACCACATTCAAAATTATAAGTCTGAGATTCAAGAAAAATTGAGGGCCCTAGAATATAAAACAATCTGTCTATGAAGGTCCTATTTGAAGGCCAGCTAAAAGAGGCCGTTTTAGATCTCCTGGTTTTTAACACATTCATGACAGGGCATAATTCTTATATCTTGCTGCCAGGTGGCTTGAACCACTAATTTTATTAGTAAAAAGACCAATAAACATGACTAGATCCATTTGTACCACCACTGGAAAAAGCCGCTTGATGGAACAGTCGTGCATATACCACTGGTGGTTCAAGCCACCGGGAACTTGTTAACATTTTTAAAAAAAGTTTATTAGTCCATGTTTGCAGTGCAGATGTCCATGACACATTTTAACCCTTTTCTTTCCCTTTGCTGTCCTCTCCCCATCTTTTGGTCCCCTTCCCATTTGCAAAAGACAGGTCTCTGTTACTCAAAGCGGCTGTGTGAGTCCCTGAGAAAGCTTGTGAGGACAGAAGGGTGTGCTTGACTTCACACTTTAATAGCTAGAAGGGCTGATCCAGAGTGGGGAAATCTGCAAGTAACCAAAATGTTTATTTTTTTTTTTTTTACCCATATCTTGTACCCAGCCAAGTAATCTCTTAGTTTGAAGAAGAAAACCTTTAAAGACCTTAGAGAACTGAAGTTATCTTGTGAAAAAAAGTGACAGCTATTAAAAATCACAGCAAAAAGTAGATGTAGAATAGATTAATGAGATTAGTAATAGTAATAAAAATTGGTGTGTTGGAAATGGATAAAAATAAGGAGGCATTCTAGCCATTAAAAAAGTGGTGGGCAGTATGAAAAGAAAGCATTATGAGAATGGCTCCCCCCATACATGGGTTCTTCTATTGAAAATTTCAGAAACAGAGTTGGGTGTAAATAGTAAAAGTTGCCCAAATTTCCGGTACCCAGAGAAAACCACTATAAATACTTTTTTCCTTGATAAATGTGGTGGCACACACCTGTAATCCCAGAATTCTGGGAGCCTGAGGTAGGAGAATTACAAGTTTGAGCCCAGTTAGGACAACTTGAGACACTGTCTCACCAAAAAAAAAAAAAAAGCCTGGGGATGTAAATTAGGTGCAAAGACCTTGGGTTCAATCCTCATTGTTTGCTATGACTGTACAGCTTACAGTGTGAAAATCCTAAATGTCCAACTCAATAAGTTTATGTTTTTGTGTGAATATGACTCAGCTCAAGATATAGAACACTTCCATCATCTCTAAAGACTCCCCTGTGTCTCTCCCCTTAGTGTCCCTAGATTACTCTTGGCTGTTCCCGCACCTCATATAAAAGAGTCATTTGGCATCATTGAAGTTAGTTGCATTTGGATAGCCAACATTATACTAGATGGACAAAAAGTGAAAGCTTTCACTCTAAAATCAGGAACAAGACAAGGATGTCCACTATCACCACTCCTATTCAATATAGTTCTGGAAACACTAGCAGAGCAATTAGACAAGAGAGAGAAATAAAAGGAATAAGGAAAGGAAAGGAAAGGAAACGAAAGGAAAGGAAGAAGTGAAATTATCATTATTTGCAGATGACATGATACTGTACATAGAAGATCCTGAAAACTGCACCAGAAGACTTCTAAATTTAATAACCACATTCAGTAGCATAGCTGGATACAAAGTCAACACTCAAAAATCAATAGCATTCCTGTACAGAAACAACAAACACACTGAGAGAGAAATTAGGGAAACAACACCATTCGCAGTAGCATCCCCCAAAATGAAATACTTAGGAATCAACCTAACAAGGGAAGTAAAAGATCTATATATTGCAAATTATAGTACTCTGAAAATGGAGATTGAAGAGGATATCAGACAATAGATATCCCTTGCTTATGGGTAGGAGAACCAACTTAGTGGAAATGGCCTTACTGCCAATCACAGAACTAGAGAAAACATTCCTAAAATTCATTTGGAACAAGAAGAGACCTAGAATAGCAAAGGCAACCCTGGGCAACAAAGGCAAAGCAGGAGGCAACACAATCCATGACTTGAAATTATACTACAAAGTTACTGTGATAAAATCTTCATGGTACT